GGGTCATATCCTGGAAGGATGTATATTGGTGTGCCCTCAATCATGGTTAAGGAAATGTCATGTCTTGGCAAAGTTTTAAATGATATAATTAATGACGTATTGTGAATCTATAATGATGAGAAAAATTGTAATAAAAGGGGGACCCAGAGAAAGCTGCTTTAGCTCTCTCTCTGAAGATTGCTCAAAGGGAACGACTCCTGTCTCATCTTTTCGCCGACTCCACTCATCCTTCAGGACTCCCTGGACCCCGCTGGGGCAGGACCCCGGCAGTATTGTGCTCACCTGGCATGTGCGGGGCGCTAGGTTCGATCCTCAGCATCACATACAAATAAAATAAAGATGTTGTATCTGCTGAAAACTAAAAAATAAATATTAAAAAATTCTCTCTCTCTCTCTCTAAAAAAAGATGAATAATTAATAAGATTGAGAAAATGTGATTTTAGGTAAATCATGTTCCTTTCAAAAATTTTCTTTCTGCTATGATGCTTAATGGTAAATAAAGGAGAATGGCATACATGTGCATACTAATAGCTCTATGAACATTAGATGCATAAGAGGGCAAGACTGATAGATAACAGAGTTAAAAGTTATTATTTCAGAAAAATATTTTCTTCCAAATTCCAACCACTCTATTAGAAAGTTCCTTAATGTGGCTATATTTCACTGTTTTAAAATATGTAATGCACCTGCAACTGCAGAGTTGATGGGAATTATGGACAGAAATGGAAGATCCAGATTGAGGGGAGAAGATTGAATTGGGTAGTGATGAAACGCACACCAAGGTACCTGGAGCGGTATCCACCCTAGCCAGGACTGGACAGCCCAGGCCTGCTCACCTGCTCCTTGGTCATGTCCTCCGGAGCCAGCCCATCGACAATTGGAGTGCCTTTGGCTTTGCCTTTCCTCCCTTTCTTTTTGGGTGCCTTTGGTTGAAGAGACAATTGGGTAAGTAAAGGACACTCTAATGGCTTTCCCTTTTTTGCTGGCTCGGATCTGCTCCCATGGGGCATTTTAGGAGGAAGTGAATATCTGTTTGGAACTTCTACCCCTAAGGCTCACTCTAACCCCCCTCTCCCCCGCCACAAGAGCACTCAACTGGAACACATCACTCTGCACTGGGTTTTCCCACCATTAACCACACACAACCCTGTCAACACATTTGGATAAGCACAAAGGAGACATCTCCCTTTCCAGAAAAATACATTTTCTCTTTATAAAAGGAATGGAGGAATCTGTTCCAAATCCATTCACTCCATGGTATATGGCAGATTTCACTGATGAGAATGGAAAATTTACTTGAGTCAGAAAGGAAGCCCACAATACCACTCTGCCAAAAGTTACCATGTTGTCTAAATGCTTGGTAACCACCCCTTAAAGAAACTGTTAAATAAATGTAGGGAGAAATGACTCCATAGCAATAACTAATCCTGAAAATATAAGGATTCTTTTCTTCAAAATATAAAACTCCTTCAAGGAACACTAACCAAGAACTATTGATCAAAAGGTATCCACTATGGATGATCTGTAAATGGGGTCAGCAGAAGGACTGGTCATGGGGTCATGTTTCATTTTAATAGCTTTTACAAGGCTGAGAGAGGTAGCTTCTACCCCCATTCATTTCATGCATGCCATTCAAACAGATACAATTTTCGAAGCCCTATCCTTCTGCCAACGCTCTCCTGTTTATGCTTTCACGTTATGATAACCAGTTTTACATAAAAATCTTAGAAAAACAGTTGGAAAAAAGAGCCAGATGAAGTGGTGCAGGTGCCTGTTGTCCCAGCAACTTGGGAGGCAAGGCAGGCAGAATACTCAACATAGCAAGACCTTGTCTCTTTAAAAAAAAAAAAAAAAAAAAAAACACCAATATTCCCACAACCTCATGATAAGTACTTTGGTCCCCCTTCCCAGTTGGTTTTCAAATGATGCACTCAGAAACCTTAACTCCTAAGGTACTCCTCTCTACTCTAGGAATGGCACCTCCCTGGAAGGTCATGAGCCTTGGAGGCAGATTCAGCACCAGTTAGCATTTGGGATGTTCACAGTCAGCTGAAGGGGCTTAGTGGGGCTCCTGGAGCTCTCCCAAGGTGAGGCATCCTCCCCACCAGCTGATACCACGCTGCTGCCAAAAACTCGGTTACTGACGACTCCTAAATTACAAAGGGGCGGGTCTTGTTCCATGAGAAAAGAAGGGAGAGAGCCCAGATGAAGCAGCGAGGTCCCGCATGGCTTCTCCTACTAGGGCCTGGCTCCGACCAGGCTCTCCAAGGGAACAGATTCTGAACCCCCAGCTGATGCCCTGGCACTCCTGGGCACCAGCCTTCTATCAGGGCGTGCTGGAGGAGAGGAGCCTCCAGGTGGGGGACAATCCTAAGGTACCCCTGTCCCCGACTCTCCTCCATGGGGCCTCTGCGTGCCCCAGAACTCCTAAGAAGTGAAACCACGGGTTCCGAGGATCGGAGACACCCAGGTTCTGTCTTCTGGACACCCCGCGCCCCGCGCCTGAGGTCTCGGCAATTCTAAGCCCACCAGGGAGCATGGCATCCTGAAGAACCCAAGCCTCTCAGCTCCGAGGGCGCAGACCCCTGCACCCCGGGCTTTCCCCAGAACCCTAGGAGGGCATCCAGTCCTCGATCCCAGGAACAGCCCGTCCCGGGGTCTCTGAGCGCAGGTCGGCCCGGGGCCCCAGGCCCCCAGGCCCAGGCCCAGGGCCAGCCTCACCATGGCGCCGGCTGACCAGAGCCACCGCCACCCGCCGCCCAGCCCTCCTGCCCCGCAGAGCCTGCCCTGTCTCCCGGCAACCGTGCGAGATCCCGCACGAAATCTCGGAGACTCTCGTGAGACTATGCCTGCAGCCCGGCGGGAGTGCGTCCCTAGCAACGCGCTGGGGAAGGTTCCAGATGGCCAGAGTGGCGGAAATTGGATGGTTGCTGTGTCCCCGAGACACCTGACTACCTGACGCCCCTGAACTAGCGCCTTTTGTTGATCGCTGGTCCCCGCCACTAGAACTCCAGCTCCATGAGGAGGGAGAACTTGTCTTTCTTAATTTAAGTGATTCCAAAATGAGATCCTCTTGAAGAAGAAAAGGTTGTGTGTTGGCTAGGGGGCACTTTCCACCCCCACCTTCATTTCCCTTAAAACATAAGCACAGAACTAATGAATGCTATTAAAGGTACTTGTAGAAATGATTTTTATTTGTATCTGATGACTAACTAACCTATTATTGCACTTCTTGGGCAGAGATTAATGGGCAATTCTTAAAGAATAAAGACTCTAACAAGCCTTAGAAATATGTGTGGGCCCAGACTGTACCACGTGACCTCAGAAAGCCGAACCCTGGCTGTTAATATCCTTGACTAATGAACCAAGGCTACAGTCCGAGCTAGCAAAGTGTCAAGAAATAAGTAACCATAGAAGTGACCTTTTAACATGCTTCTAAATGTAATTTTTAACAGAACAGTGTCAATAAGTTCAAAATCCCATATGCTTTTGATCTGATATGGAAGTACGATGCATCAATATTAGGCAGTAAAAGGGAAGGAAAAAAGAAAGCTAGAGGAAAAGGATAATAAAAGAATCTAAAAGAAATCATCTAGACTATGACTCCAAACACCTTCCCTTTAACATAGTGGGAATGGAAAAGGTGCAGGTTCACTTTTTCAACATTATCATCACCGTTTAGAATTAATAACAACAATAATAATAATCCCATTAACCTCCTTAACTGTGACTTTGCCTAGGTTTGATACATATTTCATGGCCTAGCAACCTTCCCTTTTCTAGGTCCTGGGTTTTTCATTATTAGATTCAATCTCAGGATATAAAATTGGGTGTTAAATAAACCTGGGGTCGATTTCCAGCTCTGAAACTATGTAACCAGGTAAATTGCATACGTTGTGTAACATCTCAGTCTTTTTCTCCACAAAATGGGAACACAAATAATATCTTTATGGGTTCCCTATGAAAATTAAACAGAAACACTGCCTATAAAATTTTTAGCATAATGTTGGCATTTGCTAGTAAATTGATGAAGTTGGAGAATATCATAGTAAGCAAAATAAGCCAATCCCTCAAAACCAAATGTCAAATGTTTTCTTTTATATGTGGATGCTAATTCACAATAAGGCCAGGTGGGGGGGTTAGAGAAGAATAGAATTATTTTAGATTAGGGAGAGGAGAGGGAAGGAGGATATGGGGGTAAGAAGGATAGTAGAATGAATCAGATATTATTACCCTCTATACACTATACATATAAAACTATACGTCAGGTAGGATGCTACATCATGTACAACCTGAAGAATGAGAAATTATACTCTATTATATGTGATGTATCAAAGTGCATTCTACTGTCTACTAATTTAAAAAAAAATCAAACTAAAATGAAACCTTTAGCAAAATGTCTGATAAGTTGGAAGAGTTTTAAACTGTTAGCTATTATTATAGTGGCCATTACTACTGTTATTGATATTATTATTTGAATTCCCTCTATCTGTTTTGATGCCTATTAGTTACACCTTCCTTATAGATGGCCAACATCCTGTGTGTAATGCCACACAGCCGGACTCTCTGTAACCCCACAGTGCACAGCACAGTGCCTCCTACAGGTTGGCTGAATAGGAAAAAAAATGAATGAACACTGTGTCTTATGGTCGGACATTCTATGTTTCTTGAGAATATTGAACATATGTCTAATATAGATATGGACTTACAACAAGAAGAAAAGTTAAGATGTTTACTACTGAAGAAATTAACTCTTTTATGCTTTATCTTTTTAATCAGTGACAATTCTACTATTTAGGCATATCCAACTTTTAGAAAACTTGTATTTATGGTGATAAAATATCTGCAAATATTATCAGACAAGCAAGGAAACATCTATTGGGGGGGGGTACCAGCAAAAAGATTACCTTTAAAAATAGCTGATCTTGGGGCTGGGGATGTGGCTCAAGTGCTACCAAGGGGTAGCGCACTCACCTGGCATGTGCAGGGCTCTGGGTTCGATCCTCAGCACCACATAAAAATAAAATAAAGATGTTGTGTCCATCGAAAACTAAAAAATAAATATTAAAAAACCCTCTCTCTCTCTCTCTCTCTCAAAAAAAGTATATATATATATATAGATAGATAGATAGATAGATATATAGATATATCTATCTATCTATCTATATATATATATATATATAGATATATATATCTGATCTTGATCTTGGAGTATTCTGGACTCCATAGTCTGTAACGTTCATATCACAAACAGTGCATGAGTCTGTTCTCTTTCAACCCCACTGGTCCAGCAAATGTTGATAGGCATCTGCTCAGCCAGTTCCTGAGGTAGGCCATCACTCTCAAAGGACATACAGCCTACAGGTGGAGAAGGTGAATAATGCAGTGTAAGTAGTAAGGAGGAAGAGCTAACTCTGAATGGGAAAAGGTGGTGAAGGGTGCTTTAGAAGTTTCATGGGCTATTGCAAGTTAGGATGAATATAGGTAGCAATAACATACTACATATTTCAAAAAGCTAGAAGAAAGGAGTTTGAATGTTGTCACTATTAAGAAATGAAAAAATGTTTGAGAAGATGGATGTGTCTAACCCAATTTAAATATAACCCAGTATATTTATGTATCAGAATAGCACATGATATTTCATAAATATGTACAATTTTATGTTTTTATGTATCAGTTAAAAATAAATATATATATATTTTTAAAAAGTTTGAAATTGGAGGCCAGTTTGAAAAGCACCCCTTTATTGGCACTAGCATGCCAATATTCATTCAGCATAGCATAGTAGTAAAGAGTAAAGACTGTGGCATCTGCCTCCTGGCTAGGTATCCTGGTGGGCCAGTTTGCATCTTCATGTCCTGATTTCCTCACCTGCACAGTAGAGTTAATAAGAGAACTTTCCTTATGGGTTCACTGCTAAGATTAAGTAAATGGAGGCTGGCAAGTGTCTGGAATAGTGCCTGCCTGGCATGTGGTCAGGGTCCTAGAAGTATATGTTCAATAAAGACATAATCAGCTAGCTTCTTCCCTCACCCACCTGCAGTCAGTGCATGCAGACTCCCAGCCTCAAGGAGCTCATAGTCTCTGAGCTGTGTGTGGAGAAGACAAGCAGCCAGCCACAGGCAGAATGAATGAAGGAGGTTATAGGGTGACAAGTGCTATAGAGAACAAATAAAAGTAGAGCCTGGTAAGGGAATCTGGACTGTGGGGACAGAGCAGGACTACAACTTTAAATGAGATGGTTCATCAGTCAGGTGGAGCTTATGAACAGGACATTGGCTGGAAGAGTAGGAAGAGGCACAGGCAAAGGCCATGCAGGTTTGGGGTCTATGTGAGTGCAGGAGGGAGCGGGTCGGTGACCCCACTGTTAGAAGTCAGGTCAGCTGGGCTTGGAGTTGATGGGCTCCCTTCTGCAGGTGGATTTTATTTAGAAACATCCTCCACCACCTTCTGGGCTTCCAGAGCTCCCCCATGGGAAGACAAGGACGTCTGTCTCCAAAACAAATGAAAAGGGTCTGTTTATTTGGAATATTTCAACAATGAAATAACTGTTGGGAGAGGAGGAGAGAACAGGGAGAAGGGAGGAAATCAAACACTCTCCAGATCTCCCCAGAAGTGAGAAGCAGAGACTCTGGGGCACTCCCTCAGGAAGGCAGAGCTTTTATCCATTGTTGCCAAATTCCACTCTGGCAGGAGTTTACTGGCAAGAGCTTAACCTGTGACCATTCTGGGTGGGCTTGTCTAGCCTGAAGCAGAAGCCAGTCCTGCTGGGCCACTGAAACTAATTCTTAAAATCATAAAAGAAAAGTTGGATCCAAAGCCATCTGATGAACTGAAGCACCTATAAATGAGTTTTCTTGTAACTGTGGGCAGCAATTGGGCCGAAGGGATCAGAGAGGGAGAGACGAGGTATATTCTCTCTCTTTACCAACCCAGTTATTAACAGTTACTGGAAAGACCTGGACACTTCTCACCCATCTCTTTGAGAGTGTCAGCTAGCAACAGTTAACAAACTGCCCACCTTCAATGCCCCTGTAGAATGTGATGAAGAAATTCATATTTTTCTTTAGTGTCTAAGAGAACACACAGGTAGACCATCTGGTCATTATCTATGCCATTTTCTCATACCTTGAGTTACAGTCATGAGCTGAAGTCTTTCGAAGGTCCATTGAAAGTGGGACAAGCATCGTCCGTCCCAGCACTAGCGTGCCCATATTACTGATGAAGAAACTGAGATTTGAATTTTAAAGTAAACTTGGCCAACATCACAGTAGATATTGACATTTATTGAGAAGTTACCATCAGCTAGGGACTGGGCCAGAAATATGGCAACCTCTCAGGTTGATTTCATTTTTCCTATGCTACCAATGCTCTCAGTGGCTCAGTCCCTTGCCCAAACTTGTCCCATTTGTCATGAAAATGTCTTTGTTGTCCTTAATTTTAAACTCAATTTCTCATAAGGTCTTTTGAGTATTTAAAATGAAACTTGGAACTTTCTCTTCCTTGTGAATTCAGGTAGGAGGTGAACATCTGGATAAGTGTCCTCTTTATCTAGTTTAATAATTGAAATCTCATTGATTTTATCAGCAAATGGCATATTTGACTGACCCACTTCTGGCCTATAGGATATAATTGAAAGACTGTCAAGGAGTCTATGTTAGTGCAGGAGGGATCTAGCATACCTGGAATAAAAACACAAAGCTG